AATATTTTACGGTAATTGTTTCACATACTTACGGTTTTATGTTATTTTGTTATTGCTCAGAAATTCAATTTTATGTTGTACTAGAGTTTAATTTTTCCCATAGAACACAAGAATGGCAGGAACATCAACATGTTATGTTCGTTTAAGAGATAATGCTGTTCCTACTCTTAATACTTCGGAGGTAAATAATAGCTGTTATATGTGATTTCTTTCCATATGGGCGACGCAATAGAGAAAACTCACTGTTTAGCCCATAAGTTACATACAATATTTTTTGTCGTTATTTAAAGTTCGCGAAAAAATTAATAATATCCTTTAAACAAAGATTGCATTAACAATTTTAAATGCATTTTTTTTTTAATCACAGAAGGTGAAGAATGTATATATGTATATGTTGTTATTTTGAAAAATTAATTTTATTTCACTTGTTAAATAAAATCACAATTTTGTTACTCCAATACAGAAAAATGTTACTTTAAATGGCGGCAATAAAAAATATATATTTTATTGTATTCGTACTTTAGTATTAAAGTTTCTGTTTTTAAAATTGAATTATTGTTAGGTAAAGAATGAATTTAAAATCATTTGAAAAAAACAAAAATACATGATAGGTTATTTGAACCAGCCAAAGTTAAAATATTGTCAGATATTTTAATTACTCCAGCAGTGCGTCAAACAAATTACAGCAAACATCATTCTTTAACAAGTACTAGAAGGGCGACTACAACTTTTGATGAATCATCAATTTTGAAAGATCCAGAATCAAGAGCATCCACTTCGCAGATGGGTGAATTAATGTCTCCCAGAAAAAGAAAATTAATAAGTAAGCTGAGTAATACGCTGCGCATAAGCAGGGAGAGAAAAAGAAAATTGGCCTCTTTGCAAAAGAAACTTATTAGAAGAGAAAAACGAATTGCCAGTATGAAAGAGATTCTTGATGATCTAGAAAAATAAATTAATTCAAGAGGAAGAACTAGATGTGATTTCCAAACTAGGAGGCCCTCAAGAATTATTCGCCAGGCAGTATAAAAAAGCATTAAATAAAGCATTACCAAGACAATATTCCGAAGAGATAAAAGTATTTGCATTAACTCTTAATTTTTATTCCCCTGTTGCTTATAATTATGTTAGAAAAACATTTAATGTATGTTTACCCCATACAAGAACGATAAGCCGGTGGTACGAAAGTATTGATGGAGAACCTGGATTTACAAGTGAGTCATTAAAAGCTCTGCAGTTAAAGGTATCTTCTGAGAAGGATAGAATAATATGCAGCCTAATTATTGATGAGATGTCGATTCAACAACATGAAGAATGGGTTTCCCAAAAAGACAAGTGTTATGGGTATGTTGATATGGGAACAGGAGCCAAAGAAGTTACTCTTGCCAAGGATGCTTTGGTGTTTCTGTTAAATTGTGTCAACGGTAACTGGAAAATTTCTGTCGGTTTTTTTCTTATTGCTGGCATAACAGCAGAACAAAAAAAAGGATTAGTGTTGCAATGTTTGAAAAAGTGCCACGAAATAGGTATATATGTGGTCAGTTTAACATGTGATGGCCTCCCTGCCAATTTAACTATGGCAAAACTTCTGGGTTGCAGATTGGAACATGAAAATTTAAAAACCGTTTAACACCCATCGACCAATGATAATGTGGTTTTCTTCTTAGACCCTTGTCATATGGTGAAGTTGGTGCGAAACACATTGGGTGAAAAGGGTTCGCTTGTAGATGACAATGACAAAATAGTTTCGTGGAACTACCTAAAGGAATTAAATAATTTACAAAAAAATGAGTCGTTTCATATGGCAAATAAATTAAGGGAGCAACACATCTCTTTTCGCAAGTAAAAAATGAAAGTGAGGCTCGCAACTCAAGTATTTAGTGAGGCTTTAGCTTTTTGTGAAGATGAACTGCATATAAAACAGTTTGCTGGAGCTGGTGCTACAGTTAGATTTGTCTTAATTATAAACAATCTATTTGATGTTTTAAACTCTAGAAATGTGGCTCAATGTAATTATAAAAAACCGTTAACTGTAAAGAATTACGAAAGTATACTTTGTTCTTTGAATTCCACAGATAAATATATAAGCACATTAAAAACACATGTTGGCGGTACTTTACTATTGGATTGTAATATACGAGGCACGTCCAGAAAGTAAGTTCCGTTTGGTAATAAAATTAAATTGTGTACAGATACAGAAAAATTATTTATTGCACAAAATTCTACAACTCTTAAACTACTTTTCCACATAACTGCCGAAATTTTGCAGGCATTTGTCATAGCGTGGCACAAGTTTTTGTATACCTTCTTCATAGAAGTTTGCCGCCTGTGTCTTCAACCAGTTGGAAACAGTTTCTTTCAGCTCGTCGTCATTGTTGAAGTGTTGACCGCCAAGGAAAGACTTGAGATGTAAGAACAGATGAAAGTCACTAGGAGCGAGGTCTGGGCTGTACGGAGGATGGCCAAACACGTCCCAGCCAAATCCCTGTAGGAGGTTTTTCGTCACATTTGCAGTGTGTGGTCGTGCGTTGTCGTGAAGAAAAACAACACCTTTTGACAGCAATCCTCGGCGCTTATTCTGTATTGCGCGGCGCAATTTCCCAAGTGTCTCGCAATAAGCATCTGCTGTGATTGTTTGACCACGCGGTAAGAAATCAATGAGTAAGATGCCTTTCCAGTCCCAGAACACTGTGCACATCATTTTTCGAGGTGTCAAGATTTGCTTCGGCTTAACCTTTGCTGGGGATGAAGTGTGCCTCCATTCCATTGATTGCCGCTTACTTTCAGGGGTGTCGTAAGAAACCCAAGTTTCATCTCCTGTGACTATCTGTGTCAGAAATTCTTCGCCACCTTCATCATAACGGGTCAAAAACTGAAGTTCACTACCCATCCGTTTTGTTTTGTGTTGCTCAGTAAGAATCTTTGGTACCCAACGTGAGCAAAGTTTACGAAATTTCAGTTTTTCGGTAACAATTTCATGAATTAGTGATCGTGAGATTTGGGGAAATTCCATAGCGAGAGCACTAATTGTAAACCTGCGGTTTTCCTGGATCTTTTCATCAATCGCGTGAACCAGTTCTTCTGTAACCAAAGATGGACGCCCACTTCGTTCTTCAACGTGCACGTCACTACGTCCTTCATTGAACTGTCGGACCCATCTTCTTACCATTGAATCACTCATCGCATTTTGTCCGTAAACATCGCAAATTTGCCGATAAATTTCAATTGGTTTCACTTTCCTCGCATTCAGAAAACGAATCACAGATCTGATTTCACAAGCGGCGGGATTTTCAATCAACACCGACATTATAAACAAGCACAACAAAGCGTACGTTACTGACAGCGACCTACAAATGGCACACGTTTCTTCTCCAGGATACAGAGCGTCTACCGCGGATGTGCGATCGCAGCGCTGGAGCGGAGATAAATTGAAACGGAACTTACTTTCTGGACGTACCTCGTACATACCGGATTTTTAGGGTTGAAAATATGTATAGCTAGTCTTACTTGGTTACTACAAATATTTTAAAGTTTTTGCCACTCTACAAGTTCTCCCAGGATCACATAGAGTTATTTTTTGGGTCAATTCAATACCAGGGAGGTTACAATAGTAACCCTACTGCACGTCAATCATTCATGTGGAATTACGTCAAAGTTTTCATGGAAATTGTATTCCCTTAGAGAAACTCGAGATTTTGAAATGTGACCCTGTACATCAAATTAATATAACTTCTAGAGACTACAGAGTACTTGGAATAGAAGAAAATTCTGACAGTGAGTTGGATGAATTAGTTAACATAGATCATGATTATTTGCCGGACCCTCTGTCAGAATTTTCCAAATACAATATTGCCTATATAGCAGGATATATTGTCCATATTTTAAAGAAAAAAATAGTTTGTTTTGAATGTGTATCTGCTTTAACAAGTGAGACGAAGGATTTGTATCTATTTTCTTTTATAAAAAAAAAAAAAAGTGGACTACAATATCCCTCAACAGATGTTTTGGAGATATGTATCCAAAGCGAAAAAGTGTTAAAAAACACTGTTATTTCAAAATCTAATGAACAAATATCAGCAGCGTCTGTAGTCAATATAATCCTGAGACATTTTGTAAACAGAAATATTTTTTCAAAGGACCCCGCACTTTTCTTATGCAAACTGGAGCACCGTCAAATTGTCTGAATTTTTTATATGTTATAGTCCTTGATGTCCTGATTAAAAGTCTCCAATCCTATCCTATAGCTAGATTTTGACATACAGGGCGTTGAAGTTGAAAATCCCGACTTCTTTAAAATGGACACCAAAAATCCCCTTTTAAATATTTTTGGAAGTTACTGACTGATATCTGTAGAGAATATACATAGCTTATAAGCAATATTAAAATACTGATACTTACAGGGTGATTCATGCTTAGTATCAGTATTTTAATTTTGCTTATTAGCTATGTATATTCTCTACATATATCAGTCAGTAACTTCCAAAAATATTTAAAAGGGGGTTTTTGGTGTCCATTTTAAAGAAGTCGGGATTTTCAACTTCAACGCCCTGTATGTCAAAATCTAGCCATAGGATAGGATTGGGTCCATGGAGACTTTTAATCAGGACATCAAGGACTATAACATATAAAAAATTCAGACAATTTGACGGTGCTCCCGTTTGCATAAGAAAAGTGCGGGGTCCTTTACTAGTTCATGGTTATGATCAATCAGCATTGGATAACCTTCGAGTATTGTTAATTAAAACTGTAGAGAGAAGTATGTAAATGTTAGGCTATATCATTTTGTCATCACAGTAATAAGATAGTTTTGTTTAAAGGACAAAAAATTTTTCTTTTCAAAAACGTGTTTTTTCTACCTATTTTATTTTTGTTTCAATTTTAAAAAAATGAGTTTCCTATTCATATGACCCTAAAGAAAAACAAATTTCTTATAATTTTAGAGAGTCAGGACCTGGCGAGGCAGCCATATTGTTACAACTCTAAGCCACGCCTAGTGCGACGTTTTATCTCTGTGCGAAATATTACTTATAGCACCTCTTTATAATACTACCTCAATGGGACGAGGTAAAGAATTATCCCTGAACATACATAAAAATATTCCGACGAATTGACAACCTCCTTTTTTTGAAGTCAGTTAAAAATGGGTCTTGTACCAGCTTCAAATTCGTCACATTCTCCATATTTTGAAAATTTATCCTCATTTACCTAGTTATCTATTGAATAATTCACTATTTATGTCATGTTTTTATTAAAAAAATTATTTTAGTAAAATATAATGGGATATATTTATATCTTAGTAAATATTTAAATTATTTTATTGTACTTCAGAAACCCAAAAAGGTCAATTGTTGACGAGTTCCAAGATAGTTAAATCAGATTAAAATAGACAATAAATCAATTTTGAATAAACAGAATACGTTCAATATAAAACACTACAAAATTTTACCAATTATATTAAATTATTTCATCCGAGGACATTTTGTTTGCAATGTGAAGAAAAAACATTAAAATATTTCCTTGTGGAAAAATTTATCAAATAAAATAGGTCTTTAATTAAATACACCAAATATTTAACATTGTTTACATTTTTTATCGCCAAATTGAAACTCATCAATAATCACCTTAAGTGTTAACTACAATAATGACACCCCAATTACTCGTTCCCTTCAAAAGCAATTTCGGTAACAGCTTCAATATGAAACGGTCCTTCTTTGATGAAATCTTGGAATCTTTTTATGGTAGCTTCATCAAACACGGTGCTGGCAGCTAAGGCTCTTATTATGTCGAATTTCAGCTCTTTACATTCCTTTAAAGTTTCTATATTTCGGTCCAGCAGGTATTCAGTCAGTCCTAAATTAAGAAAATAAAAACAAGAAAGGTCATAAAGTTTCAAATAAATATACTATTAAGTAAGGCGCATTTTCCAATAAAACATAGTGGCGCTCAATAGACTTTCTATTAATCATCTCTTATCGTTAATTGTGTATAATTTCATAATTATTTCTTAATATAAACTTTAGCCCTTAAGCAGGCTACTCCTGAACTTAAATTTCAGAATCAACATCTTACTAAAGTCTATTCAGATTTCATTTACGCCGCGTCAAAACAATTTCTCCCATCCAGCAACAGCTCACGTGACATTTTTTTGCGCTTCTATTGGTTAATCGGTCGTTAGTCATTTAGACGACGCGCAAATATTTTTTGTCAGAGTCGAATTCAGTTCAATTTGGATAATTATAAACGGCGTGTTGGTTAGTTTGGACATTTTATATGTTTGATTGATTATAATTCATTATATTATAGTTTAGATATACATATATTGTGTTATTTATTTTTATTTTTTGTTTGTTTTTGTGGTTGTTGTTAGTTTGAACATGTTTTACTCTATTTTATGGACATTTAATTGACTATATTTTGTAATTGCTGCGTGACACTATGTCCTCCACAGATACAGCAGATGAAGTCCAGAAAAATGTTTTTACTCCTTCTTAAAAGCGACTGAAAAAGGGACATTTGGTCATCCGTACTAAAGAAATGCTTCTTAATATTTATAAGCATTAAATTTTATAGAACCCTGATATGTTGGTACATGCTGTGAAAAGGAGAGTTGCTGATAAAACAGGAATGTGCGCTCAAACCGTTTTTAATATTATGAAGGAGTATAGGCAGAATCATAAATTTTCTGAACCAAAAAGAAAGCTACGTTATAAACAAATTAGTGGCTCTGTGGATGATTTTGATAAAAATGCAATAAGGCGCAAAGTACATCAATTCTTCTTTAGAAATTAACTTCCAACAATTGATAAGGTTTTATAAGAAGTCAACGATGATCCATATTTGTCTACTTTTAAGCGAGCTACATTTTACAAGCTTTTCAAAACCCTTAATTTTAAATTTAAAACTCGAGAAAAAAATAGTTTGCTTTTAGACAAAAATGAAATTGTTTCGTCCTACGCCACAAAAAATAAAACGGTACAGAGAAGAAAAGCAAAAAATATATTATCTTGATGAGACTTGGATTAACGCAGGCCACACCAAATCAAAAGTATGTTTCGATATGTCGGTTTTTTCATCCAGACAAGCCTTTTTGGATGAACTTTTAACTGGTTTTAAAAACCCATCAGGTATGTGCGTAAAAACAGCTTATTATATGCCATATTGGAAGTGAAGAAGGCTTTGTCTCTAATGCACTTTATGTATTTGAGTTGAAAAATCCGGTGACTACCATGAAGAAATGTGTGGAGAATCGTTCAAAGAGTGGTTTTCAAACACCCTACCAAAATTAGAAGATAACTGCATTATTATTCGAGAAAGCTGGAAAAAATATCTACGACTTCTAAAAAAGGTGATATTTAAAAATGGCTATAAGGGAAAAAATTGAATTCGACTACCAAATGCTTAAGATCCAACTTCTAAAACTTGGTAAGCAACATAAACATTATGATAGGTATGTAATAGATGAAATGGCTAAGCAGCAAAATAACATAATACTTCACATGTCTCCGTATCATTGTGAACTTAACCCTATTGAATTAATCTAGGTTGACGTTAAACAATACGTAGCAGATAAAAACTCAACATTTAAATCTGGAGACATTAAAATTCTTTTTGAAGAAGTAATATTATTAATTTCTCCAGAAAAATGGAAAAAGTGTATCGACCATGTTTGCCAAAAAGTTGAAGTAAAAATGTGGGAGTTGGATAATATTATAGAGGTTCAGGTAGAACCACTTGTAATTTTGATTAATGAAGATAGCCTTTCAAGTCTAACTAATTTATCCGATTCAGAATAGTGCTAAGTCAAGTAAGGAAGATTGCTATAATACAGGGTACAAGTTGTCTAATCTAAATACTAGTAGAACAAGAACAATAAAGAACAAAAGTTATCAAAAATACAAAAGGTTTCTTTTTAAGATGCACAATTTTAAATCATATACCAAATTCAAATACCAAATACCTCTTATATTTAAAAATTTTTTAATGCTTTTAGTAGATATATATTAGCTATTAAAGAATTTGCAATTATTTGGACAATACAATTTTATAATATGATTGTTTTAATGCTCTGTATCACAGTAGACATATGTAATGAACTAAATATAATGCAACCATCTCTTTTAAAGTCAAATACATTTATTAATTTGTATTGCAGGTTAACGCAGTTTATGTCGCTCACCTATCTTCGTCCAGAAATGTCACTAAAGTCTGGAAGACCGTGTATGGCATTTATTTTATAGTTTTACTTTACAAAATATGTTTTTATCGTAATAAAAAAATAATTTCACAATTACACTCTTTTATTTTACATTTTTGCAAGACGGAAAAGTAAAGTACGGCCCTGCTCAATTTTAGCGTCCACCTGCTTCTGTTTACATCAGGCGTAAATTAAATTTGAATAGACTTTAACATCAAATATTGAGATAAAGGGTGAACCAGTAGTACCGGCCGATTTTAATTGTGAACCACACTTAAATGTCAAGTTTGGTATGACATTTCGTGTAACGTTTCTAACATTTAGTCGTTGACAAATTCAACAATGGATAGGTACACCATTGAGCAACGCGTTAAGGTGGATGAAGCTTTTTATGAAAATGGGCGCTCAAATAAAAATGCATATCTTGCACTTAGTAATTTTTTGGTCAGCATAATCGACCAAATGTGCATACAATCGAAAAAATTGTGCTCAAATTTCAAAAAAACCGGGTCTGTAGGGGATGTGAAAACTCCTGTGCGTGTTTGTAGAAGTTTATCGGCTGGCAGCATCATTAGGCCGTACTTATTTGAAAATAAGGTTAGCCAAGCAGTTATCGTGAATGGCGTTCGCTATTGCGAGATGATAATAAACTTTTTATGGCCGGAATTGGAAGATATGGATCTGGACGATATGTGGCTCCAACAAGATGGTGCCACTTGCCACACAGCTAACGAAACAATAGCGCGAAAAATTTAATGGCCGTGTTATCTAACGGAATAGTGATGTCAATTGGCCGCCAAGGTCATGCGATTTGACACCGATGGACTTCTTTCTTTGGTGTTATTTGAAAGAAAAGGTGTACGTCAATAAGCCTACAACAATTCAAAAGCTAAAAGATAAGATAACTCAGCACATTAACGACATTAAACCTCAATTATGCCTAAGCGTCATCGAAAATATAGACCATCGAATGGAGGTGTGCCGCCGAAGCCGTGGCGAACATTTATCCGATATTTTGTTTCACACATAATTGCCTTGAACCATACTATCATAAGGAAATAAAACTAAAACAATTTCCTAAATATTTTGCGTTTTATTTACAATTAAGATCGGCCCTTATTAATGGTTCACCCTTTATATCACATTATTTTCAAATAAAAAAATTAAACCAACTACAAAATCATTAAAATCTTATAAAAGCGTAACATCTTGGCGCCCAACGTGCGGCACGTTAGCCATTATTTGTGGTAAAAGTTTCCTTTCACCTTTGTAACGGTTGGAACCGTTATTCGTTATTTCGACACAATCATCTCTTACTCAAATATCATTTGTCGTCTTCTTCTTCCTTTATTCGTCTTGTGAGAATTATTTTTGACTTGGAAGACAACGAATCAACTTGATTTGATTTTTAATATATCTTGGTCATCCGATGTACTAAATGATTTTAATCTATCGTAAAATCCGTCTGATTTTATAAGGTAAGTTTTAATAATGATATATTGTTGAAAACATATTTTGTACAAGAATTTCTTAAATAAATTGTCAAATTTTGAACATAACCTCAACAATGGATAACACATGTTGGTTTAATATAAAATTATATATTATTTTTTTTTGGAATATGGTATTATGCTTTACTATATTTTAATATATTGAGATTTTTTTTCATACTAATTTTAGTCTCTGTGAAATTATTCATTTAATAGTTTTAAATTGTTCATTTAATAGTTAAAGCATTTTATCTAGATCCTGTTCCAATTTCCTATCTTAATATTTTAACCCTTTTTTAGCATGGCTATATCTAGACGGTTTTCATACCTAGCCGTTTTGGTTTTGGTACAATCTGAAGGCCATTGTTTGATTCATCTCTAGAAGATCTACACGGTTTCGAGTTTAAGTTAGAATACCAAATATTACGAGATCATTCACGTTGCAGAATTACGAATAAGGATCCAGAATCCCTTTGTGGAAGTTGCCTGAGGATATACCATGCGATAACCCAGTTTTACATCCTTATATTACCTTCATTTACCAAAAGATAAGTGCTTATTGAATAAATCATCTTAAATTTGAATTTAGTAAAACTATGTGAATTAGAATTTGCTACTACCTTATCTAAAGCATGGTTTAAATATTATTTGTTAGTGATTTTCTATACTTTTATCACTAATCTAGAGTCAAGTATAGTAAGCTTTAAATATAGTGGTGCCCAACTTCTTTTTCAAAGTTATTCGAGTTATTTAATAAGCTAACCCACGCCCTATCAATTGAGCTCAAACACATTAAACAAGTAGATAGAATAACTAGAAATCACGTTACAAAAATGGCGCCCAACGTGGGGAACGACAATATTTTCTATACGAATTATGCCGCACTGATAAAATCAATAACATTCTTTCTCTAATAATTTATTTAGTTCAACAGCAAAAAATATTTCCCGCTTTTCAATTTCACTATAACCGTTTAAACTATTAATTTACAAAGTAATCAAAATACTAACGGCAATTGGAAATAATTTAACATCTTACCTGGACTATTTCGTATCTCCTCTTGTCCCCATTGCTGATATGACATTCCTAGTAATATTCCCAATCCGGCTATCTTAATTTCAGAGAAAGGATTCTTAGCATACCTTATAATAACGTCCATTGGGTGTTCGCACAAAACGTTAAACCATTTTTTGGTTATTTGAATAACATTACTTTGTTGTTCGTTCACGCTCAAAAGATGTTCCAAGCAGTTGAGAGCTCTGATTTTGACATCAGTGGGAAACGAGGAAAGCAACTTGACGATGGTTTTTAAAGCATAAGTCATTTTGTTTCCTGCAAATAATGTCATGTCAAAAATATTCATTATCAAAATATAATAACAGTAACCAGATGGACTGTGACATAGGTCGGTCAAAATTGTATTTTATAGAATGAAGCCAAGGATATGAGAAAGGAAAGATCTCCTACCTTGAAAAAAATAATAAAGAAAATAGATTAGTAACTAGAAAAATGTCACTTGAATTGTTTATATTTTTTAAAGCTTTATTGTTTAAACAATAGTCGAGCGCCTCATGAAAATCTTGATATATGTACCGAGAATACCGATCAAGGAGAAGCGACAGTAGCTGTCGGTGCCTTTGATATCGGATGGACCTTTTTCACATCATGACTTTGATTAATACACAACTTAGCACGCTGAGAAAACATGCTTATTTTCTACACTGAGCGAAATAGTTTGGTAAATTATCTGAAATCATTGTTATAGTCCATGCGCAAATGTTGTAATGTGATTTAATTACATTGAAGTAGTTAGGGTTAATAGCAATTAATATTCATGATATTTACTGTTCGTAGTCCTTTGAAAAAGTAAATAAACTTAATTCTTGGCCTGTTTTGGACGAACAAGAACGGTATGCACAAAAATATCCAGATCCAGACATTCTATTACAACATAAAGAAATACCAAAAAATATCACTCAACAGCTCACAGACTAAACACAACTTGGACTGACTTTGACAGATAATATGATTTTGAGTGATACACAACTTATTTTCGCACATGCGCGTATCAAAACGGTACACTGAAAGCATCAAGCTGTCGCTTCTCCTTGATCGGTATTCTCGGATATGTATATATAAAAAAGTTTAAAAATTATGATCTTGATTAAAAAAGAAAAGATAATTGTAATAATTCAAATAGTATATTCAGATAGTAATCGAGAAAAAGAAGTAAATGAAGGAAAATTAATTAAACAGGTAGTAATTTTTTTATATGAACTATTAAAATATTCAGATATATCATCAGTACCTTATCTATCTGCATATTTATTTATTAAAGATCATAAAGTAGAAATTAATATAAAAGTAATTATAAAAACCGTGCAAATGCCATTAAAAATTGACCAGTTGTAATGGGATCACCCCTGAGGTATCCCCTTTCTAACAAAAAAGGATCCTGGAAATCAAACAACGCGGTAAAAAATTATTAATGAAAATTAAAAAAATTAAGAGTTTGATGATTTTGTCATGGACATTATTAGATTTTGACCAAATTTATATGGGACCACCCTTGAGATATCCCCTTTCTAACAAAGAACCATAGAAATCGGAAAACGTGGTAAATAATGGTCACTGAACTTGCATAAAAAAAATATTCCGACGAATTCAGAACCTCTTGCTTTTTTGAAGTCAGTTAAAACAGAAAATTACTAATAAAAAGTTTTTTTTTTTTATTTAAACAATTTATATTTTTATACACATTAATATTTTCTTCGAATTCATTTATTTGAATAATAGATGGAGTATTGAAAGAACTATTTTCGCTGTACTGTGAACATGCTACAGTACAGTATAATACTTTTTCGACATCCACAAGTAGCTCCACATCCCTTTTTACAATTACAAAATAACATTTGCAATTGATTGTTACTAGGAAAAACATGTTATTGGATGAATTTAAAAAACAAAGATAGAACATGGACAGGACATATAAAGCATTATTTGTATTTTGGCAAAAAATATATTTTAAGTGTAAATCTACATCTCAAGGTAATAGCGACGGGGAAGAATATGAAAGAAAAAGAGATGACAGTGAAATATTAATGACTGATAATGCTTCTAATATTTCAAACATATTAGTAACTCCAGAAAAGCTAACTCCATACCTTACGAAGCATTTGCCAATATTATGGCTGACATTGTAGTTCATTCAACACGACAAAAATAAGTTCTAGAGAACAAAATACAAACTCCTTTTAGTATTAATATAATATCGCAGCTAGCAAAATTTCAGAGCCTTGTTGGTCTGAGAAAAAAAAAACAAAAATGTTAAAAAGAAGGAAAAGGAAAAATACCTTCAGTTATACCTTTAAAACCATGACAGGAATACAACAGAAAAAGATGCTAGACAAGGAACGAAAGAAAAGCGAAAAGCTCAACAGAAAAATTCAAAGGGAAGAAAAAAGAGAAAGTAAAAATAAATTACAAGTAAATAAAAATTTGAAGAAACTAGAATGAGACCGGTAAAGATGATGAAGATGTGAAATATGCAGAATCAATATTGAACAAGATAAAGAAGGAGACCATGAGATAGAAAAAGTGAAGCCCCTACAGCATATTAATGAACTAAAAAATGGTAATTTTGTATGGGTTAGTTATGTAGGAGGCAAAAGAAATGCTCAGAAGTTTCCATATGTATGTATGGTCCAGGACATTGTTGGGGACGACATTAGTATTAAACTGTATTCACACAAGTAAGAAAACATTAATTGCAAATGAAAGGGATGTTTCAACAGTTTCTGTTAAACCGTGAGGTGGTTTCTATTGGTGAACGTTTAAGATATGTATTTTAAATTGTTTTTGACTGACTGGCCTCTCTTGCTCTCGTGAACAGTTTTTATGATTTTCCATCTCACAGGTAACTTGATCGAAATTTCAAATTATTTTTCCTGGAATTGCTGTATACGAGGACGATCAAAAGATTATCTTCAAAAATTTTAACTTTAAAAATTCCCATTTTTGATTATATTAAAATGTTCCTTTGGAAAACTACACTCCTTAATACACTTCTTATTCTTAAAAACTAGGATAAATACAACATTTTTGCAAATTAAATTTCCATTTGTTCTATTACTTTTTAAATTAATTAAAGATTTAATAAATGTTTTAAAGGCTAGTTATTGCCTTTGATCCCCTGAAATCTTCTGACTTTTTTCTGGCATTATACTTTGTTTTGAGCTCTATTTGAAACTTTTAACTTTGATCAGGGTGTTGTACGTTACAATATATAAAAAATGTTTCAAGTAATATGTGTGTGGAAAATGTATGTATTTAAGTCATCCTTTAAACATTTATAGGATTGATACAATTAGGTATTCCAAACAAAATGGCTGCACATGGGTAATGACAGATTATGATATAACAACTCTGTTGGCCTGGTGATTTGACAAGATCAATGATATAGTTATATAGAATGTTTTTCAAAATAAACATAAGCTTATGCCTTGAAGTAAAAATGTAAGTAATTATTTTTTTACTGAGTCTGATTAATTAGCACTTGCATATATAACAAGATGGCGGAAAGTGGGAAGCACAAAAATGTTCTCTTTAAAAACTTTACTGAGAAACAATTTAAATGCTGTCAAACAAAAACAACTAAAAACATAATGTGTGTGAACTGTGGCAACATACTCCACTTATCATGTGCAGTGAAAAATAAACTCAAATGTGAACAAATATGTGACACCAGAATAGTGTGCTGTCAGCCAGTCAAGCAAAGCGCAAAAATACCTAGTCCCAACAACTGGTCAGAAGATAAGGTAAAAACAAACATTTTAGAAAAAGAAATTGATCTAGTTGTTTTTTACATGAAAAAGAACAAAAATTACTCTCTAATCCATGAAAACAATTTACTTTTAAAACAAAAAATTAATTTCTTAGAGGAAAAGATAAATAAAGAAAAAACAAAAATTGAACCCAATAAAAAACCAATCATCAACAAAAAACAAGTCGCACTATCTCTCCAGTCAATACAATCATCTACGACAACAAACAATAACGAAAACAAAACCAGTGAAACTCCGGCGTTGCCACCTTTAGTTAAAATTCCTAAAAACCCAATAGCACAGGTTCAACATAATATAATGAAGGATATCGTTAACCTAAATAATGATAACATCTCACCTTTGGCAGACAACGAGGGTTTTCATAAAGTAACATATAAGAAAGAAAAAAATAAACTACGAAGAAATTTTGGAGCAAATGAGGAGAATACGGAATTTGGAGCAACAAAAAAGCTTGGATTTATCTGTATCGTGTCAATCGTCTTGTTACTTCCGATAAAATCAATAATTATCTAAAAACCCAAGATGTCTTTAAGGGTGCTGATATCTCTATAAAGGAGCTCCCAACAAATGAAACCCAAAATAAGTGCTTCATGTTAGGTATAGATTTTGACCTCAAAGATGAAATCTATAAGCCTTCCACTGGCCTAAATCTGTTGCCTATAAAAGGTTCGACTTTAGGAAATACAATCAATATGACAGACGGAATGAGGATTTTTAAGAAATCCCCCACCTACCTCAGATCGCAAACAAAAAAATCAATGACAACGAGACTAATTCAAAAAGCAAACAAGACCACAAGAATACCCCAATCGGACCAGCTGCCAAATTAAAAGTTATGCACTTAAACCTGGCTGATGTCGTCTGTTTCTCAGAACACTGACTTACAAGCGATGAATTGAAACACATGAGTTTAAATGGTTACACACTCGTAAATTCATTCTGCAGAAAATAATTTATACGGGGAGGGGTATGTATGCTCGCCAAAAATTAAATTTTCTTTAAACCACTCAAGTATAACGATTGTTTAGAAAAAATTTTTGAAGTAACACTAGCTTCTCTTGATTTGACGAAGGATAGGTTACTATATATCATCACAGTCTACACAACATCTAATACAAATATTGATATTTTTATCGATAAAATGTATGATCTGATGTGTAGAATTTCCAAACTAATTTTTACTACATTTTATGAGGAGACTTAAACGTTAACTTCTTACTAAACAATACAGAATCAAAAAAAAAAAATAGTAAACATGCTTAAAGAATTTGACATGCACAATTACATTGACAAACCTACATGTATAAATAACAGCATTGATGCTATATTCTCAAATATAACTGCTGTCTCTACTGTTGTGAGCGAAACACATCTATCAGATCATACATTTCAAATGTGTGAGTTCAAAATAGATATTGTTGCAAAATCAAGCACCAAACAGATGTATGGATGGGTTTATTCTGATGCAAACTTGAATACATTCAGAGATCTGCTACTGCACGAATCTTGGGAAAAAATTTACAATCCAATCACTGATATTTACAATGCTTTTAATGAGTTCTATTCTATTTTTAATTTTCACTATTTAAATGCTTCTCCACTGGTAAAAATAAAAACTAAAACAAAAACAAAGCCATGGATTACCAACGAAATTAAAGAACTCCATCAAACCCTTTGTGATTAATCTAAATTAGCAAACAAAAAGTAGAATATAACAATGGAATCAAAAACTCTAAAAATGTCAGCAAAGAAAGCTGGAAAATTATCAATGAAACAAGAAATAATACTAATAATAATAGAAACCATACTCCAAAAATTTTAATTGATAAAAAAGTTGTCTCTGACAAAAATATATTATGTAATCACTTTAATGATTTTTTCTGGATGATAAAGCATATAAACCAGTCACACATGTGTTGAATCTACATCCTCATTCAATTTTCACTTTCTTTCTTACTCCAACCACACCTTATGAGATAGAGGAAATCATATCTAAAACAACTAAAAAACAACACCAGGGAATTATGGAGTTCATGGGAAAGCTCTATAAGCAGTAAGTGACATTATATCATATCCACTTTCACACATAATTAATAAGTCTTTTTGTATGGGTATCTATCCGAATGTACTGAAAATATCAAAGTCAATACCCATATTTAAGAATAAAGGGTCCGTAAACGAGGTTAGCAACTACAGAAATATTAGTCTACAGTTGCAATTTGCTAAAATCATTGACTATAGCTACAATATGAGATTAACCAACTTTTTAGAACAGAAGGGACTAATACCCAACTGGCAACATGGCTTTAGACAAAAAAGGTCAACAGAAACTGCAATAAGTGAAGTCTGCAATAATGTCTATAATCACCTAAATGATAAAAAATATCCATTAGCTCTTTATTTCGATCTTAGTAGAGCATTTGACACTGTAGATCATGATCTTCTCTTAGAAAAGCTGTATCGCATAGGCGTTCGAGGAGTCACGAATGACTGGGCTGCATCTTATCTGCGGGGAAGATTTCAGATTGTAGCTATAGAAGATGTTAAAACCGCTCCCGGGCTTATAATAGAAGGAGTTCCCCAGGGCTCAGTTTTAGCCCCACTATTTTTCATCTTGTTTATGAGCGACTTAGAATACTCATGTCAAACACCTAGAGTAACTACCGTTGGTTATGCTGATGACATTAATCAACTTATTGCTGAAAACAATCTGTCTGATACAGTTTCTGCCTCAAATATTAGCGCAAATGAATCCCAAAATTGGTGCTCAAATAATGGCCTATTGCTTAATTCTAATAAAAAAGTATTTATGCTTTTCCAACCAAAAAAGTCAAGCCTCAACGAAAGTCAATTAATAAAAATTGAACATAAATTTCTACACCAGGTAAGGGAGGTCAAGTTTTTAGGTCTAACAATCGATCACAAGCTCACATGGGAAAGCCATAATCTTGCATCTAAGCTATATAGCATTTGCTTTGTCATCAGACAACTTACCAACTGTGACTTTGGATGTACTAAAACTAACCTACTACGGACTAGTGCATTCGGTACTTTCATATGGCTTGATTTTCTGGGGAAATTCGGCCCATATGAATAGTCTTTCTCTTGCAAAAAGAATTATTAGATGCATGATAGGAACATATCCTTCGGAACATTGTCAGCAACATTTTATCAAGTTATCAATATTAACTCTTCCATGCTTGTTTATTTATATATCAGTGTTACATATTAAAAAAAATCTTTCACATCAAACAATAATATGATACACCCCTATCCTACTCGAAGAGGTGGCGAACTTCGTACACCCTTCTCAAGATTAACAGTGGGTCAAAACTCTCCGTATTATCAAGGAGCCATCTTGTTTATCCATTGTTAGAATTTTAGGCAATATAAAAAACTTTAAAAAATTCAAATTTATGGTGTTTCAGTTTCTTACAGGCAATGCCTTTTACTCTGTTGATGAACTTTTAGCATCTTAATTTTATAACTTAAAATATATTTTAATGTTAATTTTAACTGTCTTTTGTGTTAGTTTTCTGTTTATTATATATTATCTATTATCTTAGCTCTAGAATTTTAAACTTCTATGAATTGGACAGTGTGAATGATGTTTTTGTTTATTCTATGGACGTACTGTGTATGAACTGACTAGTCATATAAGTTTTTTTTTAAACATTGTAAAAATACTTTATTGACGAATAAATTGTATTCTATTCATGGCAATATGGCCGCTCGCAAAACGACCTGCTTTGAGCGATCTATATATGTATCATTGATCCTGTCAAAGACAACAGGCCCACAAGGTTGGCATTACACAACATTTCATTACTCAATGGCAGCATTTCGACAGGTTGTTGGAATGCCTAATAGTTTGTACAAAATAACCGGAAAATACCTGTCATAACTAGATAGGAAAGTCATATATTGAACATATCAGATTTTTGTACAAAAGTTAAAAAATTATATAGGATTGAAAATAATTTTTATTAACCTTTGCAATTATAAGTGCAAATTTTTTTTTTTAAATATAAAATTATTGTTATAAAATATGTTTCAAACATGAAAATTTGGCCTACCAGGGACGACACACATGGAGAGATGAAACACTGCTGACCATGTTTTCTGAAGTTGAGAACATAGTAAACAGTCGACCCCTAACTCATGTGTCGTCTGATCCACATGATCTAATCAGCAATACTCCGAACCATTTCTTAAAAGGAAAATTTGCCTCTATTAGTCACTGGAAAATTTGACACCCAAGAATATAAAAAGCAATGAAAGAAAAGTCACGAGACTGGCCAATATTTTTAGACACGGTGCATAAACCTTGACAATCAAAATGGAATAATGACTCAAAACCAATTGAAGAGGGAGATGTAATTTTTATAGAACCGAATGCACCAAGAAATCATTGGTCCTTAGGAATGATCCAAAAGTTGTTGGCTGGAAAAGATGGAAGAGTTCATGTCGTCGATACAAAAAGATTCCACTTTTCGGCGGCCAGTCACTAAAATATGTAAATTTAGTGAAAATTAGATTTGACAAGATTGGAATTATTTTCACAGGAGGAGGATGTTACATATTTTTTTTACTAGTTAGTATATATTTGATGCAATTAAGGATATGTTGATATAATTTATCACTTGGGTTTTTGACAATACTTGACATGATATAAAAATTTTACAAATAAAAATACAGTTTTTCAAATTGATTTTACTTGGTAAAATAATAAAAGAGAAATACTTAAAATAAACTCAACAAATGTAATTTTAAGATATATAAGGGATTTTGCATCTGGTAAATTAAATAGTGTCCATATGTATTTGTTTCCAGAAGAAAAAACAAGAGATAAAAATGATGTGTTAAATAAATTTGATGTCATATTGCAGCAGAAACACATCTTAGATGAAGTAGGATTTAAATATTTGTATAAGCTTTTGCTTAAAACTATATTGGCATGTAATCTTTCTTGGAGAGAATGTAATTATTTGCTAGTGTCTTCAAAATACTTCTTAAAATTAATTACTATTTAAGTATTTTTGAAAGTTAATAAATTAGAGATCATAAAAGTGATTTTTTAAGGTATAATCTGGCTGAAAAATATAATTATCAGATTATATAACAAACCTGTGGCGTTCAAGGCACTTTTTCCTTGATTTGTTAATCCTATGATTCCCAAAGTATCCAAAGAAATAGCAACTATAGTCAATTCACCACTCTCGAGATTTGAAAACAATCTGTCAAATATTTTTGGATATTTTGACATTAGTTCAAGAGGTTTCCAGTGTGCTATATTACCGAAAAATTTTAAAATTCCTAAAAAGAAATACATTCAATAATAATAATAATAATAGTGATGGGTCGCTTTTAAAAGTCTATGGAAAAGTCTATGGACAAGTTCGACGGACTAGTCTGAAAAGTTGACTAGTCCAAACACTTTTCAAAAGTGGAAAAGTGTATTGCGCATGCGCGAAATTAAATTAACTAACTTGTCTGAATTTCTTACAAAAAAGGCAAAATATAGAATAAAAAAGAAGAAATGACAAATGATTACTGACTTTTATATGTTTCAACAATGTTTTCGAATTTTTGTGCAAGGCCGCCTACTTTTCACTACTTTTCCGGAGATGTCCGTCGGACTAGTCCAAAAATGACTTTTCATGAAAAGTCCCATCTCTAAATAATAAAAATACTGTCCCTAATTCTACCCCGTACGAGTAAATTTCAACCCCTGAAGTCGACCGAGTGACTTGTGCAGGATAAGGGACGGAAATTATTATTATTATTTGTCGTGGCGTTCCGGGGCGACTTAAAGATGATTGATGGTGCATTTGACTTACAGGTGAGGAAAACCCGGAAGACCTCACCCACCATCATAACACTGTATAATGAAAAACAAAATAACTGTATTTACCTGGTTCACAGTATTGTAGTGTCATAGAATCATCTGTATCTTCAATCATAGAAAATAGCTTATTTATAACACCGTTTTGTTCAAGATAATTGTAACCATGTCTACTAAGTCCTAGTTGAGTTAATAATTCAACAACATTCATTTTTAATAAGATATCATGGTTGTTTAATTCTTCTAAAAAATGTGTTAATATATCAGTTGATTTGATCTGATCCAAATTTATTTCAGCTTCCTTTGCAATATTAACTACCACCTAAAATAAATAAATAAATAATTAAAAAGAATGTACCTACAATTATTTGCAAAATAAAGCAATAATAATAATAATAATAATAATAATAATAATAATAATAATAATAATAATAATAATAATAATAATAATAATAATAATAATAATAATAATAATAATAATAATAATAATAATAATAATAATAATAATAATAATAATAATAATAATAATAATAATAATAATAATAATAATAATAATAATAATAATAATAATAATAATAATAATAATAATAATAATAATAATAATAATAATAATAATAATAATAATAATAATAATAATAATAATAATAATAATAATAATAATAATAATAATAATAATAATAATAATAATAATAATAATAATAATAATAATAATAATAATAATAATAATAATAATAATAATAATAATAATAATAATAATAATAATAATAATAATAATAATAATAATAATAATAATAATAATAATAATAATAATAATAATAATAATAATAATAATAATAATAATAATAATAATAATAATAATAATAATAATAATAATAATAATAATAATAATATCGTTTATTGACCACATTACATACTTCTGTGTACATTTGAAGTCACAATAACAATTTACAAGTTTTACAATGAGAAAACAAGAAAAAAAAATAAATAGTACAAACCTAAAGTACAATTATTAAAATTTAAAAATGTAGTTAGATCATCTGTATAGGTATATAAAAAAAGATTGTAATCAGTTTCAGTAAAATGTTAAAAGTTATAAAATTATACATTTAAAACATTGCATTAAGAGAGAAAAAAAATATAAAATAAGATATACATAATATAAAGTCAACTTAAAATTAAAATTAAAATTTAATACGAGTAATTAAAAATAAAATCAGAAAAAATTTTGTCTTTCTGTGACTCTAAAAAATTCCGTAGTTGAGTAGAAACAGTGCTCCAACAAGAACTCAGTAGCAATTTTTTTAAAACTGTATAAAGTTAGGTTTCTTATATTTTTATTTTGATGGTAATTTATAAAGAAGTTATATATGCCTACGTCAGGTTTGTTATTATGTGTTGTCGCTAATCTTGAATATGGGATTGCAAAATTCTCCCTGTGCCTTGTGTTATAAGTGTGTAAGTTCATATTAAGGGGTACTTGATAGTTTTTTTTATGTATCCACAGTAAGGTGTCAAGTATATATACACAAGGTAGTGGGAGAATTCTACAAGTCTTGAAGAGAGGTTTGCAGGGAGTACCGTAGGGGACACCAGCAACAATCCTTACAGCAGCCTTTTGACAACTGAAAACCCTTTGTAGAGCACTGGTTCTACCCCAAAGCAGAGTACCATATTGTAAATGGCTGTAATAATAATAATAATAATAATAATAATAATAATAATAATAATAATAATAATAATAATAATAATAATAATAATAATAATAATAATAATAATAATAATAATAATAATAATAATAATAATAATAATAATAATAATAATAATAATAATAATAATAATAATAATAATAATAATAATAATAATAATAATAATAATAATAATAATAATAATAATAATAATAATAATAATAATAATAATAATAATAATAATAATAATAATAATAATAATAATAATAATAATAATAATAATAATAATAATAATAATAATAATAATAATAATAATAATAATAATAATAATAATAATAATAATAATAATAATAATAATAATAATAATAATAATAATAATAATAATAATAATAATAATAATAATAATAATAATAATAATAATAATAATAATAATAATAATTATAATAATAATAATAATAATAATAATAATAATAATAATAATAATAATAATAATAATAATAATAATAATAATAATAATAATAATAATAATAATAATAATAATAATAATAATAATAATAATAATAATAATAATAATAATAATAATAATAATAATAATAATAATAATAATAATAATAATAATAATAATAATAATAATAATAATAATAATAATAATAATAATAATAATAATAATAATAATAATAATAATAATAATAATAATAATAATAATAATAATAATAATAATAATAATAATAATAATAATAATAATAATAATAATAATAATAATAATAATAATAATAATAATAATAATAATAATAATAATAATAATAATAATAATAATAATAATAATAATAATAATAATAATAATAATAATAATAATAATAATAATAATAATAATAATAATAATAATAATAATAATAATAATAATAATAATAATAATAATAATAATAATAATAATAATAATAATAATAATAATAATAATAATAATAATAATAATAATAATAATAATAATAATAATAATAATAATAATAATAATAATAATAATAATAATAATAATAATAATAATAATAATAATAATAATAATAATAATAATAATAATAATAATAATAATAATAATAATAATAATAATAATAATAATAATAATAATAATAATAATAATAATAATAATAATAATAATAATAATAATAATAATAATAATAATAATAATAATAATAATAATAATAATAATAATAATAATAATAATAATAATAATAATAATAATAATAATAATAATAATAATAATAATAATAATAATAATAATAATAATAATAATAATAATAATAATAATAATAATAATAATAATAATAATAATAATAATAATAATAATAATAATAATAATAATAATAATAATAATAATAATAATAATAATAATAATAATAATAATAATAATAATAATAATAATAATAATAATAATAATAATAATAATAATAATAATTTACCGAGAGATATGTACAATGTAAAATATTTAAAGAAAAAATAAATGAAATTGTCCACTGAAAACCATAACTGGCTCAGGGTTTTTTAAGAAAATATTAAGACTCTCTGGAGAAAGGGTGCAAAAACGAATTTATATTAAAACAAATTGCAAACATTGTCAAATGACTGATTGAAAATATAATATATTTTTTTATAAATTTATTTATTTAATTTAACACAACGGCCGCTGTCGTAAAGCCAAATCTGGCCCCACGGACCGGCAACTTTTTATTTGAAATACTAGTTAGAAACTTAATAAAACTGTTTCATGATATTTGCAATTTTTTCTTTATTTCCAAATATTGTTTTTGGGCGTGCAATATCTGGATAACACGCGGTCCGAGTGCTTGATTTCAAAAACTGGGACCGCGTGCTAACTGCAGATAACTCATTATCTTGAGAATAATATCACACTCACCAAATGAGAAAGATCAAAAACAAACGGACAAATGAAATAGAAAAACCCCAAGTCATCATTGACTATATTAAATCTAAAGCCTACATTGATATGTTGCATTAAATGAAAGCCTACGTGTCTAAAAAGAGGAACTAAATGGTATATAAAACTAGCAACCAAAATCAGGTTTGGTTTAGCAATGGTAAATTTTTTCATAGTATATAAATATTTTACACAAAATAAAATATTGATCACGAAGTTCAAAGAACTTTTAGCCATGGCTTTAGTCACCATTGAGCCATTGATGACCAGAAGAAAAAGAAGAACACAGTTTGAGATCTACAGAAAAAAGCCAGAGAGAGAGAGAGAGAGAGAGAGAGAGAGAGAGAGAGAGAGAGAGAGAGAGAGAGAGAGAGAGAGAGAGAGAGAGAGAGAGAGAGAGAGAGAGAGAGAGAGAGAGAGAGAGATAACTAAAGCTTAAAAATGGTTTGAAATAACTTAATACTCAATGAGGGCAAAACAAATGTGGGTACTTTTTAAAACCAATTACAACAGAGATGAATTGCCAATAAATATTCAACTAAACAACTGTATATTTAAGGTCTTAACTAGTACCACGTTTCTGGGGCTATATATTGATAGTTTTCAGTGCTGGGAAAGCCATGTTGAGTTTGTATGTACAAGACTGAGCCAGATCTGTTACAGCATCAGAGTTGTGAAGAAATATTTGAAATGGGATAGTTTAAAAATGGTATACTTTGCAAATTTTGAATCCATAATTAGATATGGGATAATATTCTATGGTGGGAGCAATTCAATTTTTAGAGCAAAAAAGAATAATGCGGATTATGCTCAGTTTGAATATGAGAGAGTCCTGCAGAGGTAAATTTAGAGAAAATAAAATCTTAACTGTGATAGGCATATACATCCAGGAATGCTTAATTTTTTTATTTAAAAATAGAAGTTTATTTTCAAATGTTGAACCAACAAATGCTTATATATTGAGAAATATAAACCTAGTATATCCAACACATAGGCTGACAGCTACAGAATATGGAGCAGGGTACAGCTGTGTAAAGTTGTACAATAAACTACCTGATGCAATAAAAAGATTAGCAAATGTTAAAGTATTTAAAAGGGAAGTACATGAATTGTTAATTAATTTAGAACCATGTACAATTAATGAATATTACTCTATGTGATCATTAATATATTTTCCCTGACACTGTTTTGTTTAAGAATTGTCTTTTTTATATGTATTATGATTGTTCCTCAAAATAAAGAAAATTATTATTATCATTATTATAATAATAATATTCATAACCTTTACCACAGGGTAAAGCTGCTCTTCACTCCAACATCCCCACAAAGTGGTGATAATTGTCATTATTGTACAATTTACTTTTATATAAAAAAATTTTAAACCTTAAAATTTCTCTAATACCTATGTAATGGTAACAAATTATATGTTTTTGAGAAAAGATTATATGCAAAACATGAGTTGACATTTTTGTTAGTTGTAGGTACTCTCAGTAAGTTAGAAGCTATACTACGTGTGATAGTTTTGTGCGATATATTAATTGTAAGATGCTTATTCTTGTACGTATAAGTTACCAAATTGTGAAAGTATAGAGTTCGTATATTGCATATATCCTTTCTATAAACTAATTTAGTTGGATACCTTCTGTTTTTCTTAAATATCAGCATATGAGATTATGTCACAATCAGCATCCAGATTCAGTAAAGAATTTATATAGATTATAAACAAAATAGGTCCAAAAACTGTGCCTTGTGGCACACCTACCCTGACTATTTGTGGCAAACTTAGCGAATAAAATTTGATAGAAGATATATTTTATAGAAAATTTTATCAAAAAGATATAATAATAATAATAATTGTCATTTATTGAACTGAAAATTCAGTCCAATAGGCTATTGACTGAAATCCTTCTGCCTTAAAAAAAAAGATATTAGGTAGATCTAAAATTCATTAAAGTGAAATGGCAATATATCTAAAATCAACATTAAAAATAATAAAATATAAAAAAAATCTAAGGACACCATGCAACCATCTGTCTAATTCATATTACTGGGGAAACTAAACTCAGCAGCTTTTATCAAATTGTGATTAATTCAAACAAAATATGCCTTTCAGTAAGGGAGTTGTCTTCCGAAGGGACAATTTAGGTAAAGTATTTTAAGTTCTTTTTACTTTCCTATCTGTATACAGATATAAGGAAAGTATAGGAATCATGATTTTTTTTCGACCTCGAGTTTTCGACGGATTTTTACGTTTTGAGGTCCCCTGAATCCGTTTTGACTATTTTCGCGATGATGTCTGTGTGTGTGTGTCTGTATCCACCATAACTCATGAACCGATACACAGAAAAACACCAAATTTTAAACTTAAGCTTTATTCCAGCGTCCAATGAACTGATTAGATTTTGGGCAGAGTGGGAACATCTGGGGGGGGTACTTTATAGGTGTTCATTTTTATATTTTATGAAACATATCTGTTATTTACGTTTGGAGAAGAAAATTCTTCAAATAAAAGTTACTTCTAATATTATTATCTATAATTTTTGCCTTACACAAAATTTTCCTAAAATGGTCCGTCTTCAAGAAATTTGACAAAATGTAAAAAAAATAATTTTTTATAAAAATTGTTCAAATAAAAGTTATTTGTAATATATTTCTCTATAATTTTTATCCTATACATAATTTCTCTAAAATGGAGACCGTATTTGAGATATTTGAGAAAATGTGTAAATTTCGAATTTTGAAGAAAACTCAAAAACGGATAAAGTAAAAAACATTAAATTTTAAACTTAAGTTTTACTTAGGCCTGACGTGAAATGATTGATTTTGGACAAAGTTGGAACATCTGGGGGGGGGGGGGGGGAACTTTATGGGAGGCCGTTTTTATATTTTATGGAATATATCTGTTATTTATGTTTGGAGAAGAAAATTGTTCAAATAAAAGTTACTTCTAATATTATTATCTATAATTTTTGTTCTATACGAAAGTTTCCTAAAATGGGCCCGTATTCGAGAAATTTGACAAAATGTAAAAAAAAATAATTTTTTATAAAAATTGTTCAAATAAAAGTTATTTGTAATATAATTCTCTATAATTTTTATCCTATACATAATTTCTCTAAAATAGACCGTATTCAAGATATTTGAGAAAATGTGTAAATTTCGAATTTTGAAGAAAACTCAAAAACGGATAAAGAAAAAACATTAGTTTTATTTCGGCCTGACGTGAAAGATTAGATTTTGGACAAAGTCGGAACATCTGGGGGGGTACTTTATGGGAGGCCGTTTTTATATGTTATGGAATATATGTTATTTAGGTTTGGAGAAGAAAATTGTTTAAATAAAAGTTACTTCTAATATTATCTATAATTTTTGTTTTATGTCAAAATTTCCTGAAATGGTATTCGAAAAATTTGACAAAATGTGTAAAATTCTGATTTTTATGAAAATTGTTGAACTAAAAGTTGTTTGCGATATCGATCTCTATAATTTTTGTTTATACATGATTTTTCTAAAATGGACCGTAATGGAAAGATTGTAGGAAAAGTGCCAAATTTAAAATTTTCAGTAATTTCGTTTTCAATGAATAACTATAGAAAAATGTTTCGAGGTATGTGGGAAATGTATATATTTAGTTTATCCTCTAAACATTTATAGATGTGCTGCAATAGGTTGTACAAAATAACCGGAAAAAGCCTATAATAACTAGATAGGAAAGTCATATGTTGGACACATCAGATTTTTATATAAAACTTAACTAATTTACCTATCCTATGCGGCCTGGAGCTGTCGAGGGTTGATTTAAAAAAAATATACAAAAATGAGAAAAATAAAAAGAACTTAACTAATTTACTGTGCGACTTGGAGCCATTTAAATTTTACTGATTGCTCTTGCACATGTTAGATAAATTAATTAAGTTTTTTTTTTTCAATATATGTATCTTAATACAGAAAGGACAGTAAAAAATAGACGTGACAGTATTTTCTCAGGCAACTCATTTGCAGTAGATTTATAAACATTTTATTTATAAAAAAAAACATTCATTTCTTAAACAAATAGTTGGTGAAGGTCCACCTTACCAAATTTGTCTAGCTTCACCATTACATTCTTGTATCAAATAACCTATTGGAAGGATATTTTTTTTAATATATATGATTTTTATAATGCAAAAATAGGTATTTAGTTTTTAGATGAATTAATTATGGAATTGTAATAATAAGAAAGTTAAAACCTTACCTCATACACCCTCAGTCTTGATACTTCATTAGTAGACATAACTTCACGCATCTCATTAGATATATCGTCCATTATCAGGGTTCTTAATCCAATATCTGATAAACCAACAACAACTGTTATATCAATTGCTTTTTTAGCAACTGATAGATCGCTATCTCCAATACATTTAATAACAGAAATTAATAACGATTTTCTTTTGCACAGCTCAGAAAGACAATTCTCTTCAGATATGTCTCGTTGAATCTCTTTTAGAGCCATTATTTTCACTCCTGAATAAGGATGATTTAAGGCTCGTTCTAAAGGTACAACATATCTATTTGTAGTTTCTCCTATATTCAGGTTGGTCATACACAGAGTAAGCACCTCGCAAGCTAAATCAACCTGCTCTCTAAAAAAAGATATAGAATGAATTGCAAATTGTGTGAACATAGCACTTTTGAGGTTACTTACAGATTTGAGTCATTTAAACAATCGAATACTAATGGTAAGTCGAGACCGTCTGCAAATCGGGATGCCTCCGATGCGGGTATAGATTCAAAATGCTCCTTAATTTCATTTAACGCTGAAATTCTTAAATCTTCTTGTAAAAGTTTAGAGAGTTTATCGGCACACCATTCTTCGCGGGATGCCATTTTTAAAGTTTGTTGTGACATTTGACATTGCATTTTGTTTGACAACCAGCTGACAGAAATTGACTAATGACAGTGACAATAAGTGGGACTGGGTTCAGCATTTTATTGTTAAGATATTTGCGTTCAGCAGAAAAAATCTGATCGGCACCTGTTCACTGAACTGTAACCGTCACAACGATCTGTTACAGTTAAGATTTTAGATTCATTTGCAACATTGCAACAGTAATTACATAGTGTAGGCCCAGTATAAGTAATAATTAATTAATAATTTATACTGGGGTATAGGTCTGTTCTGGTTTTAAGAAATAACGATCCACAACATACAATCCCAAATTGTTTATTTATGTGTGGACGATTTTCTCTGGTTCTTGTTTTATTGTTTAGAATTATTAATTTTTTAATATTATTCTCCCGTTTTTATAAATTCCATTGAAATTTGAAGCCGAGCTTTCAAAAGGAACTGCATTATTATAATAAACAATAAATAAAACACCTTTATGTGTTCTGGTTTTCCAACAATTTCAAACAGTCGGGGATTTTTTGCCTTTACGCACACGGTCCGGTGTAGTTTCAAAACAGTTTTAATTTGGAGATCCAGAAAAAACCTTTATGTTGCTTAAAGCACCCACCTTCACATTAAATTATAGTTCAGTGGCGTGGCTTAGACTAGAGGACTCGTAACGTCGCAGGAAAATAGACGCAACATGTTGGAAATAAAACAATGAACTTTTATTATGTTATTGATCTTTTTAGGTATAGGGTAAGTTCAAAGCGTAAAAATTAAAATAAATTAGGAACAATAAATAAAACACAAGAATAATTATTTCCTATTCCCATCTTTGATATAACCGATTTTTTGAAAGTTTTTAAAAATGTTGTGCTGTATGTGTGCAAACCAAGAACAGACCAAACAAAATCCCGAAAAAAAAAACTATAATATTCTGATTACAAAATAATTAATTAACGAATTTTTGGCAGTTCCATACAAAATTTGAGACTTTTTATCAGAATCATTAAAATATTCAAAACATGTACGGGGTGTTAGCAATTTGAAGTTTCATTAGAGTAAAATGTTTAATTTAATTACTGCGTTAATTTAAATGGAACACCTTGTATTTTATGGTACCCATATGATGGAAATTTTATTTACGTTGAAAGTTCTATAAGGTTCCCTATACTCATACATACTATTTTTAAAACTATTATCCATAGTTTCAATGAATCAATAAATTTCAAACAACTTCTAATAGTTTTATTTTTACAAAGCTATTCATTAAACATATTTATTCCAAAATTTGTTAGTAAATTTAAAATTTACAATAAATGTTCAAAATGATGTTCATTATTATTGTTAATGCATTTTCAAAATTATTTTTTACATTACTTAAAATCTCTAAATTAATAATAGCAAACACATCATGCTCGCACGACAATGGTCAACTGAGTTTGATAAACTATATTTTTAACATATCCCCAAAAGAAAGAAATCTAGGGGAGCAATTAGTAGGGCCTCTTCTTCCTATCCATTTTTCACGAAATTTTTAGTTTAAATATTATGTCCTGACATTAAGCGAAAATGGGCGGGAGCACCATTTAGCTGCCGCCACATTTTTCGTCTAATATCGAAAAGAATATCCTCTAGAAGGTTCCAGAAATCCTTTCTCAAATATTTTAAAAATATTATTCTATTTAAATGGACATCAAAAAGTATAGCCGCACCAACTGTCTTCCTATCATTCCACCATAAATGTTTAACGACCATCGGTTTTGTCGATCGACAGTTAAGAAATTATATTTATTTTTGGTGCTATAATAATGAAAACTCCCAATTCTATAGCAAGCATTTCTGCTTGGAAGATCGTGGCCAGAGAGCCTAGTTTTATTGATATATCAACTCTTGGCTTCTGGCCAAAAATTTCCGCTCCTACTACTCTTTCAGTTTTGGAGTCGTCCGTGTACAACACATAGTTTACCTGGGAGAGGGGGTCCCCCCCCGCTCTATATGTCTCTCTGGAATGAGGAAGCTGTATGGCTTTTCTATGTGCTGGTTGTTATTAATCTCACCCATCAGCCCCGTCTTGTTGTCTTGTTCCATCGCAGTTCTTTGTTGCATTGACTACGAACCTTCAGGAGTCTGTAGGAAACCATCCTGGCCTTCCTTTCCATCAGAATGTGGAGAGTGGTTAGGTCCAGTATGGTCTTAATGGCTCCCGTCGGTGTGGTTGACACAGCTCCAGTGATGGCGAGGAACACAAGCCGCTGGATTACAGCCAGCTTTGCTCTAGTTATCTGTTGAAGTCCCCTATTTCACCAGACGACAGTGCCCTACGTAACCATGGGTTTTACCACTGTTTGGTAAATCCAGTATATCAGTTGAGGACTGATCCCACATGCTTTGCTTCATATCCGTCTGAGGGCCCAGAGGACACAGAGAGATATTCTGGCTTTGTTGATGATTTTATCCAATTGGGGGTTCCAGGTGAGTTTCTTATTAATGATGATCCTCAGATATTTCACCTCCTCCACAAAAGGAATGGTTTCCCCAGCCAAGGTAGGTTGTCGAAGCTTGTCGAGCTTTCTTCTCTCGCTCCCTCTCGCAGTAAGTTTTTTCTAAAATTATTTAAATAATTTGTCAGTTTAGGAGGAGTATTATTAAATCCCATATCAAATTAATATTCACCCTTTCTTGAATTTAAGTTTGACTCAACAAACGCCGCTTATCTATATTGAGGCAAATTCAAACTAAATAATAATACGACGCGTATACCTGTCAATCATGAAATTCATGGCTATCTACGATGCGGGTGTGATATTCACAGCCATTGGACATTATAGCTATTACATGATGAACATTCTGAGAGAATCAAGTACGTGTAAAATACATACAAAAAACAAATTGGGCTTTTAAAAAGTTTTGAGGGACATTTAAAATTTTATTTTAAATATATATAAATAAAACAATTTGTTGTTAGCAATAAAATATATTTAAAAACAAATAGATTTATCCAAATGATGAATTAAATTTGCTGTATTTTTTTAGTTCGATATTTGCATCTGTCACGTTCTTTGACAATTTCGAATCATGAGGTGTCCAATTTAATATTTCATTAGCCGCAGTTTGAGGCATTGGACAATTTAAACATTGACAATATTCGTGCAGTTCTTTTTGCAGTAGTTCGTTTTCTTTTCGCAAGAACGCGCGTTCTTCATTAAGAGCGTTTCTAGAAGCCTCAGCTTGCCCAACTTTCTGCCAGAATAAATCAAGACTTTTAATATAAACAGCTTCTTCTACGTCGTTTTTATGGTGGTGCTCCATATCCACACAAGGAAACGGTAGAATTTTCTCTTCTTGAGTTTCCAGTTTTCGGCATACGGCAGCCATGTGAAGAATGTGTTCACCTTTTTGTTTAATTTTCTCTAAATGTCGCACTGTTTCGCTATGACTTACAGTGAGGACTTCCAATTTTTGTTGGTCTGTTTGTCGATCATTTTCCAGACGTCTCTTCAGCATTGTATATGCATTGTTAAAAAATTGCGCCTCACTTTCTAATTCTTTTAATTTTCTTCCTAAGTAAGTTTCAGCCTCCATCAGTTTCATCTTCAGTGTTTTAATAGTGTTGTGCATCTGATTTAGTTTTTCGAGTTGCAGCGAGAGAACTTTTCTTAGTGAGTCATCTTGAGCTTTTAATTCTTCGTAGTAGAATTTTCTTTTATTAGTTTGTTCAAGGTACTCTCTTAAAAATTTTTCGGTATCCGCTTCTATCGATGTGTGCAAATCTTCTAAAAGTGCTTCAAGTCTTTGCGTAAGTTGAGTGTTTTTAGTTTCTTCTTCTTCGAGCTTGTTAAAAAATTCGGCTTGTATTATTGTCTTTTGATCCTTTTTAGTTAATTCCAACATATACAACACGGTTTTAAGAAAATCCTCATCTTCTTTCCAAGTGTCTATTATGCCACCCAAATCTTCTTCAACGCTCTTTTCAAGATGAGATATCTAGAGCAATATAAAAGACGTTTTTAAAGATTATTATAAAAAATAAAAGTAAAGAAAGATTTTTTTAACGTTTTTTAGACCATATAAAGTGGCATCTATACTCTAGTATACTATTCGCCTCCATCTCGCTCTAATACTAACCCTGTGTAATTTCCACCTGTACAATAACCTCATATCACGTCAACACTAGCTCTTCCTACTTTCTACTGCTTTATAGCCGGCGATGTAGTCCTGCTCGGCTATATCGGTTTATCTTAGGAAGATAAAGAAAGATGAGGAATTGAGCAACTATATATTCAGATACAGAGTTAGATCATAATATTTTTAATACTATATTTATGTTTTATTATTGATAAAAAGCGTCGTAATGATATTCGCCCGGTAGTGACTCTTTCTTTGAATTGTATTTAGTCATTAATCGTTTTCTTTTTACAACTAATCTGAGCTAACTTACATCGACTAAGCTAGTTATGCGTTCTTTTTGTGATTGTAAGTCAGCATCTTTATTCCCCCTTACCGATGCTAAGGTTTTGGATTTTGATGTCAACCATCAACCATAACAGAAAGTGAGTGTTCTGTGCATCATACGAACAAACATATTCTAAGAATTCATTATTTTAGAGAGATTAAAAGACTATGATAACAGAGGCAAGATCGTAGTGTTGAATGTTGAATAAATTATAAAATTTGATAAAAATGTCGATTGTTTTTAAACGGATGACACGAGACACGTCGTCTGACAACTAAAATTCACGTTCTTTTTACAGCTTAGCTTAGATTAGAATCTAACTTTTAATTAGTTAAGAATACCTGTACAAAGAAAATTACTATTATCAAAGAGTACAAAATATAACTATAAAAGAGGAGTCACTCGCCCAATTACCACCTTATAACGCGATCAGCAGCCAGTCCTCCACAGTTCTTTCTCGATCGGCAGTGTGTAGTTCAACGCGTAAGGCTCGTTTGCTCCGCTACGTTAGATTCCGCGGTGTATTGGCCGTTACATTCCACTATCATCGCCGCCGCGTCTTACCGCTTAACCCAGGTATAGCCCAATTAGCTCTGTACTCTTTGAAAAAACGCCGACTTGTCGGCCCGCATTTGAAGCGCGATTTTCTTTGTAAATGCCGCGAGTGACTTCTCTTTTATAGTTATATTTTGTACTCTTTGCTATTATTTAGTATTTTGAAGCTTCTTCTAAGGGGAGACGAATTTTTTCTTTAATTTGCGATGTCCCTTATTGTATTAATACAACTATATTATACTTCATTTTTAAAGTACAACGAATTAATTTAAATCTGACTCTTGTATCATTTGAAACAAAACATTTTAAAACTTTGTATGAGTGTATTGAAGTAGGCAAGTCATTAAATTTGGATTATTAACTTTTAGGCTAATGTTCGTAGGACTTTTATTATAGTTCTAAAGCGATTTAATAAGGAAAGATATAGCAATGAAACAGGGCGAACTTCTCGTATAGCCTCCTAATCCATTGTCCAATGTTGAGTTTACCCTATTAGAAATAACTTTTCCCCATTTAAACTATTAGCAATATTTGTCCTATCTTTACTTAAATGTACACACTAGCACTCACTGTCCAGAGTGAACTACACGTTTTCCATTTAGAAAGCATTGATGCCCAAGATCCTATCGCTTACAGTTGACGTTGTTTGAATCTGACCAATAATAGTCAGCACTCACTGAGTATGTAGTATGTAGTATTCCCCCACCCACTCCCCCATTTTCCCCGTGTTTAAATCTCACCAACGACTTAGGTCCTTTTGGCTGTTTTGTTAATTTTTCCCTTCAAAGCATGTAATTTCCCCCCCACGTCCCCACTGCCCCATTTTTTTCTGTTTGATTCTATTCAATGGAAGTTGAGACTGGTAACACGTGACGCTATCTCATGGTGACTTTTGGAAGTAGCGAGCCGCCATCTTGGATTACTTAACGGAGACGCTACGCCATTTTACAACGAAAAATTGCAGTTCTTCATGATGCCAGGCGTTAGGTTGATTGCTTACGGCCACTGCGTAGGTATTCACACGCATGTAAACTCCCCCTCATACTCCCCTGTTTTCCATGTTAAAATCAGGCACAGGCCACTGCGCAGGATTTCAAATACAATAGCTGCCATCTTGGATCGCTTAGCTGTATCGCAAGCCGAGTGGCACTACTGACAGGTGGCGTGACATCTAGTTGACAGGTTGCGCCATCTCGAGGCGACTCTTGACTGCTGTTAGGTTAGGTTGGATACACTGTTGACCGTTGGCAATACTGTATTGACAGCTGACATTATAATTGACAGATGTTTAGTAACTCTGGATTGGCAGCTGTCAGTTGGCAACACAGGAATGACAGCTGACATTTGGCAACACTGTTTTGACAGCTGACAGTTGACATGATAGAGTCTGCGCAGTTTGTTAAACGGACGTAGCTTAGAAAAAAAGTGAAGGGGGTCCTCCAAAGTAAGGCAATGCCTGCTTCCGTATTTATAAATAAAACTCAGCTGAGTCGGACTTGGGTGAGTCGGCATCGAACTAAAATCGAAGTTCGGTTATATCGCGTGAATTTAGAGATGAGTAGTAACATATCCGTAAATGTACATAACAGTTACAGATTCGCTAATATCCATCTCTAAATTCCAGTGTTACACCGGAACAACCTTGAATTTAATAGACGTTGTAACCGAACTTCTATTTTCGTTCAAGGACGACTTATCCAAGTCCGACCCAATGAACTGGAGTGGGGTAGAAAGCCAATGTGCATATTGTATCAATAAAACAAGATACGACTCTATGGGCGCAGCCATTTTTATTTCTCATCTCACTCGGGAGTATTTATAATAACCATTTTCTGTTTCACATTGTTATTGTTCAATCCACAAGCTGGTGGATCAGACAATAACAAAGTGAAATAGAAAATGGTTGTTATAAATACTCCCGAGTGAGATGAAAAATAACCTGTCTTTGCCCATAGAGTCGCATCTCAAGCCTATTGACAAGCATTCTACCCCACTCCAGTTCATTGGTCCGACCCAGCTGAGTTTTGTTTATAAATACGGACCTTAGACTCTGTAAGTAACTACAAAAAGACGTCTTATAATTTAAGATATTAATGATTCACAGTTAAAGATATGTTGTCTCAAGGCACACACCGAAGTAGAAAAAGAAGAAGTAATTTAATTTAGAGGGAATACGTTCATAATACTGACCCATGGAGGTAAAATAGGGAAGAAGACGCAATCACGTAGTCAAAAGTGTCACCAAGTCACCCATATTGATACTAGACTTTCTTCACTTGTGACAGTTTTTATTTTAATGTATTGTTTAATCTCATAATTAATAATATAAGTACTTACATTTATATAAACTATTCCTCTAAAAAATATTAAAAGAACAATGGCGTCTTGTGCCAAGCACAATTGCACAAGTAGATAGGGTGTGGATAACAATAACATTTCAAAAATACCATTTCGTAGGCAAGTATAAATACAGTGCAGAGTAGTATTAAAATAAAATAATGATATAGTTTTCAGAATTAAATAAAATATTTTGTTATCATGTCCAATAATGGTTTACTTTGTAAAATAACTTTTAAATTTATGGTTAAAGAAGATATAAATAATATTTTTTTGCAATAACATTTTTTACCCAAAAATACTCAATTTCTAAGGAAAATATTTTTTTTTTCATGAAAAAAGTTTTAATCCCCTTAAAATTTAAGTGTCAAAAAATGCAATAACTACCTATTTTTTATTTAGTTTTAATTTACAATTTCTGTTTAAATAGTTAAGTAGTTATTTTTAATAGTTAAATGATTTTGTTTAAATAGTTAAATTGTTTTTATTTAAATAGGTAGTTTTCCAGAAATTGATTTCTTATAGTTCTGGAACAAAATTCACTAAATCTAAATATACATCCAAAAATTATATTATATTTGCTTTCGACTCAAATCGAAAAAAATCATATTAGTATACTATCCAGATTAAAAAAAACAGTCTGGACCTGGTTCGGTCATTTTTAGAATTCATTGGTTAAATGAACGTAAATTCTCCTTTAATATCCTACCTCCATGTACTGACCCTACTGCAACATCTATACATACGTTATTATTAAATTCAGTTTTCAATTCATCCATTCTTCCTAAAAATACAGAAATAAACTCATCTAGATGTTCCAAGTGATTCTTGAAGTTCATAGAATACTGATTCTCGGAATTTCTTAATTCCTCTAAATATAGTGCGATTTCCATGTCTTTATTATCAACGGACCTTTCGAAGCTAATCCAAGCCCATTCTAGCTCTTCCTTCATGTGGGGTTCAGCTATTTTCATCATCATCTTTTTCCATTCTTTTTCCCGTCTCTGGACCGAAAACTGGCCTAATTTAAGTTCCCTCAAGAAGGCATCCCTATTGAATTGTTTCTCTTCTTCGAGTTTAGCTAGGGCTCGCGCCTTCTTCTTCGCTTCTTTGCGAGACATTTTCTTATTAATATATCGATTATTTTTAAGGCTTCGACGTTACTAATTATGTATGTCTGTTTTAAAAATATAAAAAGAAACAACTCTGTTTGACATTACAAATGACAACTAAGTATAACAGTCGATTCGCGTTGAATTAGAGATGAGATAGTACTTAGACAAGGAAAAGAGAGGACGCGTAACAAGTATATCAAACACTTCTAGTACTCTGTGTTGATTATCGACACCACAGCTCTTTACTTGTATTTAATTGATTTTTGAATTAAACGACATTTGATAATTAGTTTGTTACAATGGTTTATTGTGTTGCATATCAGTGTAAAAGTCGTAGCGATAAGAAAGGACCATATTTTACGTTTCACAAGTAAATGCAATCAATTATTTATACTTTATTTTTAATTTTTTTTATTTTATTTGTCAGTCGTCATAAGTAAAAGTACAAGTAAAGGAAGATAGAGTAGTCCAGAAATGTCTGGAAATATCATTACCCGTCAAGAATATTCTAGACGACTGTTCGAGAAGGTTCAAGAAGGGTCAAGCAAGCTATATAAGGAGGATCCTGACGTCAGTTTTCAGTTTTATGATAGACGTTACATGTTAATGTTATCAGTTGTGCAGTTATTGTAAACAGTTGAGTTAAAATAAATTGTGATACCAAAAACCAGTGTAACAATATATATCTATTCTTTCACCAGGATCAGTGATCAGCTAGTTACCACACTCCTTTTTATATTATTTTTTTAATGGACCATATACACATTTATCTAATGGATGTAACTTATGACTAGTGTGGGGTGGGAGTGTAAGTAGAATTACAATATTTTTTTTAGTAGTTTCTATCACCTCCAAGTTAATATGTGTATCATGGTTATCCATAATAAGAATCACTGATAGTTTTTACTAGTACCTGCATGTTGTATAAAATGGTTTAGCCACTGTATGAATATCTCCTTTGAAATCCACCCAGAAAGATTTTCTGCACCAACACTACCTGGTGAAGCTCCATTCATCATATGATCCTTGAAAAATGTTCGTGGAAATATTAATAATGGTGGTAATTGCATTAATGGCTTCGACCATAGTTACTAGAGTACCTCGTACAGAAGAAGTGACCTGATCAACCTGCTTTTGACCGCAAGTAGCAACAACTTTGTTTGTACCCTGTACAGTGGTTAATGCCGTCCCGTCAACATTATATATTTGGGCTGGACCGAGTATAGATCACTCAAGTTTTTAAAAAATATTTGAATAACTGGCATATTGAAGCCCATTGCCCAGGCCAAGGAAGTTGCTTCCGATATTCTCAATGATAATTAACGATTTATCTTCATAAAGCCGGTAAACCACTTAGGACCCGCAGTGTCTGTTTCTCTCCAAGCGTCAGGTATTTTTTTTTATAATACACTGCAAGTTCGTATGCAAATCTCCGAATTCGTGTTGGGGTGAAACCGTGGTGTAAATTGGCCAAAGCCCTTAAGTAAGAAGCCAACTTTTCTTTTTCCGAAGAAGTGAATACACGATTGATGGAATAATTTAGGATCAATTTGGGATATACAGCTTCAAGGAAATTTAAATTATCAATATTATTCTTACATTTCACGACGTATCTCCTGAGTGATGTTCTTGGTATTTTGTATTCCAATGCTGCTTTTTTTGTGGACCATCCACCGTCGAATATTTTCTGCAGAGCATCTGTCATAACATGCTCAGGTGTTTTTCCCACCCCCGTTTTCTTTGGTTTTTCCCTCTTGGGCATTGTACTCTGGTAAGAAGGCACTATATCATAAAAAGGAAAACCGATATTACAATGGCCACCCCTAACTAGATTCAAAAAGCAGTGGCCACTGTTGGCTTACCTGACCATGGCCTGTGTTGAATTATTTATGTGTTTCAGAAAAATATAATTAGAAAGGTTTAAAATAAAGTTAAGGATTAAAAATTAGAAACATGTATCAGCTTTCATATGCAACGTGAAGTGACACCAGTCCAATATTCGCTCCGTGCGCGGCAGCAGCGCCAATTCGTTTTGATACTAATGGACTATTTCTGCGTATACTAACAAATGCAATTTTTAGTAGAATTCGTAATTAAAAAGTATATATGTTGGTTTTAATAAAAGTATATGGATTTGAAAGACAAGTAAAACATTAATTTATTATTATTATATATTTTTATCGCTTAAATTAAAGAAAATTATGTATAATCAATAAAAATCAATAATAAAATATAAGCAGGCAACAGTATTCACTGGAAAATGTATGAAAAGTTGCCTAAGTTTAATAAGTTGTCTCTGAAGAATCCAACCTATTCTGTCAAAATAAAAAAATACCATTAAATAATAGCATGAAGTTAAAATGTATAAAAGAAGGATCGTTATTTATATTTTCATTTTTGTTCAAAAGAAAACAGAATGAATGATTAAAACTGGTTTTCCATCAGTAAGTCACAAAATTGCATTCCAGTTACACATAATAATCAAAGGCAGAAATCTTGAAATCTAGTCCTTGCTGAATGAACATTTAAGAATAAAGGGATATTAAAGAACATCGTAAAACGATAATTTATTGTTTATTTAAAACTTTTCAAGTTTCTGATGTCTACTATTTCCAGCATTACTGTTATTATTACAAAAATAAAGGTAATTTTTCTTCTTATTGTACACCTATCCATTTAATTCTTTGATTTAATTTCCACTTTGCTACTGAATTTTTTTTTATATAAGTGTCACTGTTTTTTTTGCTAGTATTTGTACAATTTTCAACAGAGCAACTCCGGTTGCTTATTGTATTGTTTTTACCTACTTTTTTGAAAAAAAAGTAAAATGTATACGTGTATTTGATATGCCAAAATTACAAAATATCGCCCTAAAATGCACGAATTATCCGCAGCTAGCGCTAGTATCGCGTTTGCTTCCCTTTCCATGACTTCGCACGGAGCGAATAGATGGACCAAATATTTTTATCACTGAATCGTGGTCTGATGGTCTGAACACTTTAAATACTTTTATAAATGACGTATCATGCAATATAAGTTTAATAAAATATTTTTTAACGTAACTTTAGTAAGAAATGCCTATCGAGTATTTTAATATATTTATTGCAGATATGGTGATAATTGGCTCAGATTTACAAGATGTTAAGATTAATAAAATCTGCATAATTTTAACAGGTATTTTAGAGGTTAAACTAAAAAAATCCCTGATATAGTTGTTATATAGGTTTATATAGTTGTTATATAGTTGTTATATAGTTGTTATATAGTTGTTATATAGTTGTTATATAGTTGTTATATAGTTGTTATATAGTTGTTATATAGTTGTTATATAGTTGTTATATAGTTGTTATATAGTTGTTATATAGGGTGAACCGGATTTAATTTGCGTATACAGAGATCTCGTAAACCGTAAGATATACATTGTCGGTTAAATATGGAAAAAGTTTCGTATTATCGTCCATAGAAGTTCCAGATTTTCTGACTGGTTCCAGAGATATTCGATAAAATCCGAAAAACCTCATTTTCGTTATTTAAGTCGTGCGTTGTTATTATAAAAGATACAAAAAAAAATTATATGAAGTTTTTGTTAAAATTTCCTATAATCTGCCATGTCAAAATTTTTATTACGACGTTTCGTATTTGCAGGGCCACCTTCAATTTATTTTTTAAATACGGACCTGGATTTTTAACTGTAATTTTTTATAGCTTTTGTATAGCTAAATACAACGATATAATACACTTTACCATTTTACTACGTGTCGTCTATGAAAATCAGCTATGTAGTTTCTGATGATACCGTTTCTTACTTGATTAAAACAAGATAGATAAGTAATTATTATGAGAGCTTTGATTTCTTGCAACCGGATGGTCCAGAATTGTCAGAAACATCAGTTATCTCAATATTAATTTTTTCTTAATTCATTGATTCTTAAAATTGGATATGTGCGTAGTCTGGATCTTGGAATTCGTCATCTGATAATGTGGCGATATTTGAGAAATTAAGGTATCCACTCGAGTTGTACACTGAATGATTTTAAAACGACTAATTTGATTTTCCGTTTACATTTGTTCCAAAAACTTGTATGAGTTATGTCATCGGTTCGCAGCACTTTTGCACTTTTTTGGCTATGATATAAACAAAAACGCTTAAAAAAATCATGTTCGGACTTTCAAAAAAGTTTCAAATCTGATATAATATTGAAAATAATACAATTTTACATTGCTTCAAGTTTGCAGAACTTTTGCAATTTTTTTTTCAAAATTATAAACAAAAGTGCCATTTTGCTATAAATTAACTAGTCCCGGACCTTGCAAATGGTTGCAAATTTAAACTTAGTGTTATTTAAACTAGTCTATTAATATTACATAGTAAAAACTTTTGTGATTAAAGTAAAATTTTCAAAATAGGATGTCTATATTGACTGGCCTATATATGGTAAATCAAACTCGAATGTGGTATTGATTTTGAGTTTTATTTATCTCAAAGGAATTAAAAATCCTATTGAGGATAAAATTTCGAGATTAAATGTAGATTTCAACTCAACCTAGCGGTAGAAGGAATTAAATAAGTGACTGAATTACTTTTTATTATGGAAAGACATTTTTATCTTTGTACGGTCACAACTTGGGTATTATTGAAATAAAGACAATAACATGCTTATAACATTTTTATAATTTATGTAATTACCTTCAATTTTGTATATACTAATTTTAACAGCATGATCAAAAGAAAGCCTGTTATTGCAGAAAAGTCTGATTTGGGTAACTAATTTGCATATTTAAAAGACATTTCCGATGAAATCACATTTTTGATGAGTTATCTGATCTGAATAATAATAATAATTATTAAAAAAATCGCTACTGGTGTCATATTTTAACGAATTTTTCGATCTACCTCGGAAATATTTCAGGTGCAGAAAGAGGAAGCGAAAAATGAGAAAAGCATTTAAAAAAATTAAGTAGGAAAACTGTAGTTCCCGTAAATTAACAAATAAACAGCAGATTTTACCCAATTACCCCACAATTACCCACTAAAACCACTTAAACAAAAGTACACATTTTCCTTGAACAGAAAAATTGTTGATAATTATCAATCTTGGAGCAGTTTACGAAGCCTAATGACCATGAATCCCAATCTCTTACGAACTCACTAACAAAGTGTAAGTATAACTAAGGCCCATGCGAAAAGCAGCACATTGTTTATTCTATAGAGTTATTACTACGTACGACGAAAACGGATGTGTATTTTTAGTGAATTAAATTTTAAGTGAGTGAAATCTGGGCACGATGAGGCAGACACAAGCAAAGGCTGTTGCTGGGATGACATGCCAGGTAAATTTAAGACATTTTACATGTATTTTCAAGCATATCTTTAATTATCTAATAGGACAAGGCTCAATCAATAAAAATATAACAATCTTATTATAATAAAAACTATTTCTACTGCAAAACACTACTACAAGAAATATACAACGGCAGACAATTTTCTTTTTAGTCTTTTCCATGTTAGTTACTTACTCGTAATTGCTATTGATTCCGACATAACGGAAAAGTTTGGCTGATATAGATCATAATTTCAAAATATGAATAGCTAGTAACTAGTAAAATCCAGAAATACCAACCAACACATATTAAGAGTAGGTAAATTGAGTTGTACGTACTACAAAAACGTAAACAATAACGTTAACGTTATAATTTCACTTTATTGTTCTTTGTAAAATATTTTTTTTTAAGTTTTAACTATTTACCTGTAAATATATATTTGAAATTATTCTATTAAATCAATAATAAAACCAAATGAACTTCTTACCATTGAATTAAATGACGTGCTATTCACACTTATTTATAAAATAAACCTATGCATTTCTTTAATTTCTTCTTCGTACTTTCAAAATGATCAATTGTGTTAGTTCTCGTAGATACATTGGTACTAGGTACCGTAATAGACAAACAGCATGCTTTACGGTTTTACGTCTACACTAACGAGTACGTAGGGACCCGTAATATAACGGAATCCCGTTAACATTAACGTGACTATTTTAAAAGTGTGTATGCGTATTTCTACAATTAATTCATATACCTATTAACCATAATTAAAGGTATCCGATAGGTTCTTTGGTGAAATTTTTGTGTTATGAAGCAGATTCATCTTAATTAAATTGAAGGTTTTATGTTTAATCTTCTATAGACCCAATCACGATACACTATCGTAGACCCCATACTCATTGATGTAGCGCCTGTCAATTGCAGGCAGATAGTTGGCAATTGTTCTAAATGGCGTTCGTTACTATAAATATATTATATTATTACGCATTTTTGAAAAGAAACCCGTACTCTAGAGATTAAGTCAGAATTACTTCGGTTAAAAGAAAGTTTTAAAAACAATTTTTTTAAATATTAATAAAAAAGAGAAAAATTTAGCAACAGCTTCACAAAATAACACGTGAACTAATAATGTACACAGCTAAATGTACGCAAGACGAAGCTTGTCTAATCCATAGACATTATGTTTGGCCTAATTTAAAGGTCGACTTTCACCGATCTGTCTAACAGACGAACATGTTTTTTTTTTACTAAAAAAAATATGTTTGAAAATATATCGCAAATGAGTTGCCTCAAAATATACTGTCAAGACTATTTTTTTCTTAAGGTAAAAAAAACGAGACCCTATAAAGTATTCCCCATATGCTTTGACTGTGCCCTAAATTTAATCAGTTTACCGCAGGATTGATTAATGCTTAAGTGTAAAATTTGGCGTTTTTCTCTTCATCCATTTTTGAGTTATCTTCAAAATTTGAAATTTGCATATTTCCTCAAATATCTAGAATACGGTCCATTTTAGGGAAATCATGTTAGGACCAAAATTATAGAGAATGACATCACAAGCAACTTTTATCATAATTCCTATATTTTCCTTATCTGTATACAGGAAGGACAGTAAAAAATAGGCTTGACAGTATTTTCTTAATCAACCTATTTGCGGTATATTTATAAACATTTTTTTTAATAAAAAAACATTCCTTCGTTAAACAGATGGGTGAAGGTCGACCTTACTTCGGATCCTGTATTATATGTTCTATTAGTGAACACCATATCAGGATTAACCAATGCCATATAACATGTACATTTCGATTAGTGACGTCACATGTTCCATGGCGTTGTGTGTGTTTGCAGCATTTTATCTAATTTGGAAATAGGATATTCTATTTAATAATTTTTAATATTGATTATTTTGGTAAATACAACTTGAAGTAAGTTGTACCTACAGTGCCAAAAACCATGTTACATAATAAATTTGATAGTATAAGAAGGATTGAGCAATCCTTACAGATTTTAGTTTCCGTTACCGTTTTGATCTTAGACTAGGTAATAAAGAGAGGACTCATAACGCCGCTGAAAATCTTGTTCCATTCGACACCAACGATATTCGACCAAAGGCGTAACATGTTGGAAATAAAAAACGAACTTGTATTTATGTTATTAGTACTTCATTAATCTTTTTAGGTATAAAGCAAGTTCAAAGCTTAAAATTTATAATAAATAAGACACAAGAAAAAAAATATATTGAAATAACCTGAATGAAATCGTTTACATAATAAAATGAGTGTTTGTTTTAATTCTGCAAAATAAGACAATGATCTACATCAAAGACAGTACAACATAATGTCTTTGATCTACATGTATTACAAAAAGATTTATTTTTACTTAATAAAGAATGACACTACCCAAATAGCACAGACACGTTTTAAAGATATCTTTAATACGTTTGTTCACGACGTTCGTGACGTTTTGAAGATCTACGCTAATATCCAAAAGATGTTATAAAGGCGTCTATAGATCGTACTTTGTTACAAAATAAGGCGTCTTTAGGACATCCAATTTTGTACGTCTTTAAGACATCCAGTTTTGTACGTCTTTAAGACATTCAGTTTTTTACGTCTTGAAGACAAACAGTATTGGACGTGTTTAAGTCGTCTATTTACTTGATGGAAATTCGTTTATTATACATTATTAAACTATTAAAACTGACACAAAGTAAATATTATTTTACAGTGTTGGATAAAATAATTAGAAAATGACTTCAAGTACTTGCTGCTATGAGAAACTATTCCCGGAAATCCTACTTTTTTCCAGTTTGGTCGATTTAAAAATTTCTGTTATGGTATTAATTTTAGCCAAAGCGTCTTTAACTAATGTTCTCGTAGGTGTTTTCCTAAAAAATAAGACATAATTTATAATAATAGCTATTTATGAAACCAGTTGCAAAATTCCTTATTTAATGTAACAAGTGAATATTTGCGGGACGAGCAGAGCGAGGTCCCGCAACATAAACGAATTACAGAAAACGGCATTTCATAACGTGTTACATACTATATTTTTCTAGTTTTTACTAAAATTGGAATAAAATTATGTTTCGGTTAAATATTACTGACCTTAGACAACCAATATTACTTTCTTGTATTGTTAATTGTATCTGGTTCATTTTATTAATAATTAGAACCACTTAGAACCACAATTAAAACCATTAATAATTATTTATTCTCAACGACTTGCAGTGTGTTCACATTGTTTAATAAAAATATTTAGTTTTCAAAAAAGTGGATTATTTTGTAGTGCATTATGTTTTAATAATTTTGTGCTGATTTAGAATGGAAAATAAGGAACTAAAAACATTATTACTGGGTTGTAAGTTTAACCAAATTGTATTTTTATAAGTCAACCTGCCCTTCTTTGATATGAACTAATAATGTATGTTATTGACTTTAAAACCAAAGAAGGTTTGTTTTTATTTGTCCTCTTTTCGCAACTGGTGATGACATAATGAATTTTTTGTAACCAGTTTCATAATAATCAACATTATGCAACTGGTCATTTTGACACTTGCTAAGATTACAAAAATGTCAAAATTAGAAAAATAAATAAACGTTACACTATTTAAAATTGCTAAAAACTGTCAATGTTTCCTCCAGGTTTTCGTTATTCATTTTTTCCTTAATTCTGGTCTACGTATATGGTTATGAAAAAAAATAGTGTATGTGACTCGTATACAAAGTGTTTTTTTTTTACTCACGGAATTGCTACATTATCATTCGGTACTATTTTATATACTTGTATAAATAACTACTTGTGCTACGAGTATGTGGTAAAGTCATTAAAAGTTGTCATTTTTTTATTAAAATGCGAAACATTGAAGACCTTGCAATACAGGATTTTTCATCTTCTATTTATCTAACAAAAATATGAGAGGTGAAGGTAATTCAAGCCATTATTGTGAAATAAATATAAATAAATTGGCAATACTATAAACAAATAGGAATAAAATTTACATGATGTAATAGTAAATTAATTACTATGTGGACAGTAGCAGTTCGGTAAATCCGTATTAAATATAAAGAAGGTGCGGGCATAATGGATTAACTTGTAATTAAATGTTTTAATACATCGTTTTTTCTATTAAAAAAAAAATCAATTCTGGATTATAGTTGATGCAGTCTCGTAGTTTAATTCAGTCATAACCTAACTGTAACAGATTACGCTTAGGTCATATAAGAGCTACACATGAACATCCTTATGACTAAAGATCTGGAACCTCTATTGTGGAATGATTCATTGTTAGATGAAGAGATTGGACTTGGAATTCACCTGTGTTATTAAATAGGTATACAAAAATTAAATTTATACTTATTAATAATGATAATTTATCCATTACAGGCCTGAAGATGGCCCTGTAATGATTTTAAGGTTTTATTCTTTTCTTGTATAATTATTAAACTTATATACTTACAATTATGAACAAAGAAAAAAGTTAAATATATATTAGGTACACCTATTACAATATCCTACGAGCTCTTAGGGTAGTGGCTTCAATGGTTTCCCACAATAATTTTGATATTAAAATATAATTTTAAATAAAAAAATCTGCTCCACTTTTTTTTAACTACCCTATTCTGTTCACCTCTCCGATATCTTCTCTGACAGTGGCAGGGATGTAATGAGTAACTGCAATTCACATTTTATAAAAACGATCAAGTTTTTAATTTTGGACTTACAAATAAAATATACAAAATAATGTGGCAGGTTAAAACAATATTCAAAATATTGTAACGTTGGTTTAATTTATTTATAGTTTATTTATTTAAAACACTTTATTTACAATTTATTTATAACGTACTAATTAATTTTTATAATACTTAGATACTATTATAACTCACAATTATAATTTATTTATTACAATTTGTCTTTACTATCCAACACATAAATTGAATCTTCACGCTCGTTGACAAACTCGCGCTATTTATATAAAGCCAGCTCTGTACCAGAACACTTTCGGC